CTCTCTCTCTCTCTCCCTCCTATTCGCTCTCTGTCTCCTCCTGATGTTTTATTTTTCTCACATTGAGCCACTGGCCCACTGTGTTTTAGTCATCACAAGAGTAGTTGACAAAAGTGTTGTGAATATTTCAGTCAAACTTCAACAAACTGCTTTCTAAAAAGATTCCACCCAACTGATTTCAGGCTAAAAGAAAATTAAAACCAAAATAAGGCGCAAAAAGAGGTTGTATGATTCATGATGCAGCTTTGCACAGATTGTGTCTGGTCTGATGTTTTTAGTTTAAGCAATACATCCAGACATGAATATTCTCCCATATTTCCAGGAAAAACATGGCACCGTTACCAAAATGATTAAACAGAACTGTTCTGGTAAGACTGGCTGGACGGGCCTGATGACAACACGCTGCCGCTACCTGCTCAAACTCACTGGCAGCTCCACTCAAGAAAACCTGCGGACAATTCCAAAATCTAACAGGGGTGAGACCTTTTTAAAGATGTAGATCTTTCCCCTGGGTATGGGACTTCAGTGAGGAAGAACAGGTGATCAACATGAAAGCACAGGTACTAACAAAACATTTTCAAACTGTAACCCTTACACAAATCCCAAATCAACTCTCTCCTAAAGATGTTGTGCTGCCTTTACCTTTATTTATCTATCTATCTATCTATCTATCTATCTATCTATCTATCTATCTATCTATCTATCTATCTATCTATCTATTTACCATCTAACATCTTTAAGCAAAAGTACAGAAATAATAAATACTCTCAAATAAAAGTCATAACATTTGAAATAATCATTTGTTTTTCCTGTGAAACACTAACAATAGTTATTCTAATTTGTCATTTTCTAAGAGAAATACCTTGTGAACGCAGCACACTCCTGCCAGATAGCCTCAGCACGGCGGGGGCCCTACTAAGGGGGTAGTCTACTGAGGGGGGTGGAAGCAACGACAAATAGGTCACAGTGACCCCTCTGGCTGGTGCTGCATAAGTCGAGAACCCGCTTCCTTGGCAGTGGTGGGGGCTCGTCTCTGCTCAGAAGACACAGACCAGGTCAGAGTATTTATTTATTTATTTATTTTAATTTGCTGCAAACAACAAACACATAAAACTTTATTGAAAACATGAAAGTAAACGAAATATGCATGTAAAGCATGCCCCTCCCCCACCCACCCGCTCCACCAGGGGAAACCCGTATCAGTGGGGCAACAGACTTCAGTTGTAATATGACTCCAGCTGCAGAAACAACAAATCAAATGTTCAAGATCACAACTTTAAACCTGATGTGTTCTTAAACATGTTGAGCTTTTGGATTTATTGTTTATTAGTATGACAACACATGGTCCTCACATGGTGAGACACACTGACACTCCCACACACACCCACACACACACACACACACATATACAGGGAGTTAAGCATTGTCACTGTACTGGCCCCGCCCCCCTGACTCTCTGGGTCACAAGTCAGATTGTTTTTATGCAACAGATTCTTTCCTGCTCCATTCCTACAGAGTCACCACAGGACGTAAGTTGAGTTCTTAAACTGTAAATACTGTAATATTGTATATTAATGAAAATAGAGCATTTATACATTTATGCATGTTGGCTTTCTGGGAGTGTTGTATTTAGAAAAGACTTTTAAATACACCTATAAACTAAAACTAGTCTGATCAGTCAGCAGGGCTGTGTCTGTTTCAGCAGTTTATTATGTTATCTTACAGACAGGAATTTACAGGTTTATGGCACAAATACACTGTGAGTAATTACAGTGTGTATGAGTGGTTTATTGTTTATAAAAAGACATTCTTATTCTGCACTTCTGAAGGAGTTTTCAACACCTTTATTTTCACTTTTCATGTACTATGTCAAATCAAGTCAAAGTTTATTTCTGTAGCACATTTACAAACAACCTCAGTTGACCAAACTACTGTACAAACTATACAAATATAAGTATCGTCAACAATCCCTATTAACATAAATCATCAATAAATATGAGCTAAAATACACAATGTGTTTTTATTTAAAAAGCAGAGACTGTCCTGTAAAAAAGCGAGCCCATAGCTCATTTGTGCAGCAAGTAATTATGACTCATAGTTACACTTTGTTGCTAGGCGACATCTAGTGGTCGTAGTAATTATGGCAGGAGCGTGGTGTTTGATTTCCATGTAAAACTAGCTGTTTATATTGTAACCATGAGTGTAATGTTGGAGAAGTACTTATTTTATCCCAAATCAGGATTTTTTAAAAACCTAACCAAAACATGACTGTAGGTGCGCCGGTGTCGGTACAGTTCGCATGTTTGTTATTGTATTAATGACAACCAAGGTCCGGTACGCCCGCCGCTGTGGGGGCGCTATTTGAGGAGACACTCCTATGGGTCATATCAGAGGGTAGAAAACAACGACCTTTATGGTTGTTCAGGTTGGAGGACTGGTTGTTTATTGAGGTTATAAACATCTGTATATGCTACAGATTTCATTTCAAAACTAGAAATGGATTTAGATTGTGTGAATTTGAAACTAACTTGCGCCTTTTCCTTTTTTTTGTCCAGCTGTAAAGCAGCAGAGATGGCAACGCTGATGGAAAATGAGGTCTTTATGGCTTTCACCACATACGCTACCATCGTCATTCTGAAGATGATGCTGATGGGGCCCATGACTGGATATTTCCGCATCACCAGAGGGGTAGGTTACAGTAGTAGCGCCTTCAACATCTGTTAAAACAAGATATGTCTCTTTCTTTTTGCGTTAGTTTTCATGATTTTATGCACAGGGTATGTAAGGTCTCTGGGTGTGTTTAGCCCAGATTAGCCTCCTAACAACTTCAAAGCCTATAAGAGTTGTGTTGCTTTTTATCCTGGTAAACGGGATGGAAGATGATGCAAGAAATAAAAAATAAAAAAACTCGAGATCCACTGTGTCTGGCACTCTGCAGTGCTGCAAAATGAAAAGTCATGTATACAGTCAACCTGAGGCACAACACAGGTTGTAAAAGAGAATTAACAAAAGACATTTGTAAAAAGGAATCACAAATTAAACTTCATTATTATATTCACTGAGCAGCTTTTGCATGTTCTCCTCATATCTACATTAGAACCTTTCAACCTTACTTCTGGTGTGCAGAGGTAAACGCTACAGACTTTGAGTCAGTGCATGTATTATCCCTCTCATTTAGGCTTTCTCTAATGAGGAAGATGTGAGCAGAAAGTCGGTAGAGGAGAAGAAGAAGCTCCTGAGGACTCATCCAGATGTAGAGCGTGTTCGAAGGTGAGATGACTTGGTCCTGAAATGCCAATGCTACAGTCACACTGTTCACTATTTTACTAGAAAGTTGCGCTGGACATCACTCAAACTATAAGAGAGATACATTTTTCCTCACTGATATAGGTTTTGAAGTGTCGCAACACTTGAATTAAATTTTTAGACTTTGCTAAAATTCACCATTTTTCACCATTTTTACTCCATTAAAAAGTTTGAGCTGTTTTGTTTCTCACAACAAACCGATCAATCAACACTGTATCTTTTAACTCTAACCTTTCCATAAAATTAACCACGTGTTTATCATTGTAACCATGATGACAAATGTCCTCTGACCTTAACTCAAACCATGATCTTTCCCTAAACCTTACCAAGTTGGTTTTGTGCCTATACCTAAAGGAGGTATGTGTAAGTTTTGCTATTGCTACATAGCTAATGTTAGCATTATCAGCTTTTTACTTACCAGTCTTGCCGGGAGCTTTAGCCCTTGTTGCATTTACAAGACAAGAGGTTATAATACGTCCTCTGTGCAGCCTGGACCCTACAGTGACTCGGTATCGGAAAGTGACAAGATGGGCCAGGCTATCTGGTTAGCATGCTAACTTCAGTATATGAAAAGAAGTGATAGACATAAAAGCTAAACAAGAGGGTTACTTTCCACCTCTGGAGACAGCACTTGGTGAGAAAAGGAATCAAGCTTGATCCTGAACTTGCAATACTTCCTCTAGACTGGTAAGTAAACAGCTGTTAATACTAACACTAGCTATGTAGCAACAGCAAAACTTATAAATAGCTCCTTTAACCAAACCATTATCATAGCATTGTCGCATCATTAAAGGCTGGATGGATGGATGGATGGATGGATGTAATCAATGTAATAAATCGTCATAAAAAAAGATTGTAAATTCTATGGATGTTAATAGAGTAGGTTAATAGATAGTCACATTGTATTTTGTGTTGTTACCAGGTGTCACCAGAACGACCTAGAGAACATTATTCCCTTCGTGTTGGTCGGCTTGCTCTACGCTCTGACTGAACCTGAGCTTTCAACCGCTCTGCTTCACTTCCGGCTCTTTGCCGGCTCGCGCATCTTCCACACCATCGCCTACGTGGGTGCTCTGCCTCAGCCCAGCAGGGGTCTGTCCTGGATAGTGGGCATGCTGGTCACCTTCTCCATGGCTTACAGGGTGCTCAGCACAGTTCTCCACCTTTAGAGAAAAAACACCTGCAGTCCTTGACCTCTTCTACACAAACTTACATTCCTGCATGAAATGTGAATGTTTTTATTCTCTACAGCTTTCTGTGAGCTTGATTGTTAAACACTCTTTGTGTGTATTCTTTGCATTCCCTTTGACTTGCTGGAGCTATTGATGGAAAATGTATTTTGAATAAACCTTTCTGTTAACTTTGTGTCCGTGTAATTACTTCTCAAGGTGATGGAACAGGTGATAAAACTCTGTGCCGCTGTGAATGACTTTAAAATTTTCTAAAGTGCAAGTGTGTCTGTAAAAGAAGGTCATCCATGTAAAATGAGTAAAATACCTCATGTTACTTTAAACATAACAGCACGTCCTATACAATGTTCAGATATGAATTTAACTTGGTTGGAATGTGCAAGTATCAGTCAATCTGTCTTTTGGCAATAAGAGTAAAAGTGCACTGTGTCATTCCAGTTCAGGGCTCCTCCCACAGATTACACAAGCTCAGGATGAATTACAGGCATTTATCGCCAACTGATCTTTGGACTTGTCTTTGCTGATCACGGTGACTCTGCAAAAACAAGGTAAGATCCACACACTGCATCCTGCACTACATAAACTCTTAACTGCACACCTCATAATTTTCTAGCCTTTGCTAAGAGAAATATATGTATGTTATTGTATTTATAGTTAGGAATTTATTTATTTATTGATATCTTTTGTAACATTATTCAACTTTACATGTTCATGAAACAACTTTGAAATTTGTTCTACTTCATGTTGGTCAATGACGACTGAAATGTCTGGTGCTCTGTTCCACTGAGGGAACTATGGTTCATTTTAGCTTTATCTACTATGTTGTGCTGGTCCCTGTTCCTCTTTCTAATGAAACAGGATTTGCAGGGTGCAGGACACACTTTAATTCAAATTGTGCTTTAGTATTGCATATTTTGAAATACCAAAAACCAAGTCAAACAAACTGATCTGTGGTGGACTTTTGGGGCCATTTTGCCCAGGTGGTCTTCCAGTCTTGCCTCGCTATGAGCCCGTGTCGACCCACGTCCTCCTCAGTGACCATTTTTAGCTAGTGTGTCAGACTGGAGGCAAACAAAGAAAGACACAAAGCGTGACGAAGGAAAGTGATGACGCATTAAACACATAGAAAATATGAACATGTACGACGTGCTGTGGGTTAATGTTGCTCAGCAGATCACAGGTCAGCTTCCTTTGCTATAAGCTTTGTACAGTACGCTGTAATTGACAGGCTGTAATGTTTGACATGAAGATGTTCTGACGTCTAAAGTGTAGAAGCATTAAATATATATTCCTGTTGTTCCACAGTGATTTCTCACAGGGATGATATCACCACTGAAGAGTATGATGGACAGCCAGGTCCTCCAATCATTTGCTACTTATGCCACTATTGTCGTCCTGAAGATGATGCTCATGTCACCTTTGACCTCTTACTTCCGCCTCACAAGAAAGGTGCTTTTTTTCACCTAACTGCCCTATAACAGTATACAGTGTAGTTTCATTCATAAAGACAGACAGTGTGAGGGAGCCTGTGATCTGACCCGCTCTTTAACGTCTCTTCAGGTGTTTGCGAACCTGGAAGACACCAAGTTTGTTTCGTCAGCTGAGGACAAGAAACTGGTCCGCACAGATCCTGATGTGGAGAGAGTCCGCAGGTACGAACAACACCTGATGTCCCGAGAATAGTGACATTTAACAAGAGCTACTCGCAAAGGAACAAACAAGCTGTCTGTGTGCTGGTACTGTTTCTGTATGGTAAATTGTTTCTTCTTAGTTTCTTACTTCAAGTATGATTTCAGTCTCCAATTTTTAAATGAATCCACAAAACATTAAGTTAATTAAAAACACAAAGTCCCATTCAAACCCAGGACAAGACAAATAATAACACAAGTATTCACTTTGGATGAAAGCGTCTGCCAAATGACTAAATGTAATGTAATGTAAATTACTCATGACCATGGACACTTATGAATCTCTTACCATAATGCAGTGGTTTCCAAACATGGGGGTTGGGACCTCCCAAGAAGTCGCAAGATTAATCTTAGGGGTCATGAGAGGAAGGTGAAGAAGTACTTAATATTTTTAGCTCTTCAGGAAACTAAAAATTATCCAAATTCTTTGGTGTCCGTCTGTAGACTGCTGGTTAAATCTAAAATACAGGATAACACATGCAAGCTGGTGGACGGAGCAGTGAAAGAAAACAGAACAGGCATGATGATGCACAAATATGATTGGATGACATTAGACAACACAGCTATGAATGAGCCAATCATTGTGAAGCATACTTACACTATGCTTCGTATGTGTTGTCGTTGCGGTCCAGGTGTCACCAGAACGACCTGGAGAACGTTATTCCCTTCGTGGTGGTCGGCCTGCTCTACGCCCTGACTGAACCTGAGCTTTCAACCGCTCTGCTTCACTTCCGGCTCTTTGCCGGCTCGCGCATCTTCCACACCATCGCCTACGTGGGTGCTCTGCCTCAGCCCAGCAGGGGTCTGTCCTGGATAGTGGGCATGCTGGTCACCTTCTCCATGGCTTACAGGGTGCTCAGCACAGTTCTCCTCCTTTAGAGAAAAAACACTGAACACACAAATATATACAGACTTGAATTACATTCATGTTTGTGTGAATTCTACCTTTACACTATTTTGCAGGAAATCTATTACTGTGAGACAATGTTAACTCCAGGATCAATCACCCTGCCAGTCTTTCTTTGCAGTGCATGGCAGCATTTTACCCAGAATGCATCTTATAATGTTTCAGTATCACAAATTTTTTGTTTATAAAATATTCACAAATATATTAAAAAACACATTGATTAAACTTAAAAGTATGTGAAACTGCACCTTTTTATATTTTTAATAAAACAAAGGAAATGACTCAGGTTAAAAATATAAAGGACAGGAGTGCAACACGAAAACATAAAGATTCATCCACCAGCTGATGTTTGAGTGACTCTCTGTGCCACTACTACTGCAGTCAAATGCATTTACATGGACAGGTGACAGATTCAGCAGGATCTCTTGGTCACAGGCTGTTTCTGGGCAAATGAGTTCAAAAAGTAAAATGCTGTACTATATTAGTGTTACATATGTACAGGTTTACAAGTGGTGGCCTGCTAGTCTCTAAACTATGTCTTTGTTTTATATGTTGCTTCATCTATTTTAAACACTAGCAGCCTCTTGTCTTAAAACAATTAGCAATAGATATGAAACAACAGTACATTACACAGTAGGAAACAAATGACGTGATTAAGATGTTCTACTGAAAGGTCGTCACTGTAATTCTTCACGTAAACCTCTTCATTTGAATTTTGTCTTTGAAGAACATGAATCCAACATTGCATCTGATTTTTTTTCTTTCTTTTCCTTCGTTACCCATCTTGATGTTACGTAGGTTGTCATGGCAGAACGTTCCAAGTAACCATAAAGGGTCACAAGTGTTTACAAGAGTAGCATCACTGTAGAGTCTGTCCTCAGATGACCCTCACATGTATGACTTCACGTATTTGGTCCCACAGTTACTAATAATAAAAACATCAAAAGAAAGCATCATAAAGACATGGAGACATACAATAATTATGAATGTGTGGAACTCATAGTTAGTTGATTATTGTCTGATTCATAACGATACAGTGCAGAGCAGATTATCACATATATATCAGTGGTAATGGCTTGAATCTTTTGAATTTTTTTATTGGTTAACTTTCCTCTTGTAAAGCTCATGTAAAATTTCTAAGCATTAATGAAGACGAACAAACCATCACGAATGCATTATTTACTGTAATTCACTGAAGAACTAATTATTTATTCATCAGAATAAGTAACACTTTGAATGATGAACAAAGCATTCTCAGGTTCACTTGTTTATCCTCAATCATGTGTCAGGATCTTTCAGGAAAGTTGCATCAAATGACATTAATGAAAAAAAACTGAAATTTATATCCTACTCAATTTAATATGGAAACATAAATCATACTGATAATACAGAAGGCAGTTCATTTTATTTTGTAACAGTGTCCTCAGTCAAGATGCGTCCTATGACATCAGTTGATCTGAAAAATAAATGAAAATTACGTTTCTTCTTGCTGGTAATAACACATTTTAAAGGTAAGCATTAATAATAATAATAATGATAATAATAAAAATAGCAAAATAGAAACAAAAATACAAATTACAAATACAAATACGAAATAAATTTTTTCTATATATAGATGCAGTTATATTACACAGCATGTGTCTGAAACATTGAGATTTCAATCGTATTTGAATGTCCAGATTTTCATATTTAACTTAAATCAATTATAAGCAGCAGCAGCAGCATCATCAGTAACAGCAGCAGCATGTATTAACAGTAAAAGTTAAAGTTAAAAGAAAATATTTTCTTTTTCTTGCTGAACTTCCATTCTAATATATTTCACCTTTTCTACTTGCGTTAAAACGGTATGTTTTTTCACTGTCGTCATACAGTTTCCTCTTTTCCTCTAATTAGCCTGAGACAGATGCACAACGCATGAGTGACATTCATCTTTTTCGCTTTGATCTGTGTGAGGTTCAGGTATTGTGAACAAAAAATTCCCACATTTTATTTCTCAATGACACAACAGGCACACGTGTAGATTTTGTCCCTTTCAGCAGCTCGTACAGTAAAACCATTAAACTCATCCTGCTTCTTGTCTTCTCTGAATTTTTCTGACTGTGAAAGATAAAGTATTATTTAAGAAGCTACTGGTATTTTTTTTTTTTTTTAGAGTATTATACTATTATTGGAAACTGTGAAGCGCATCTGCATCTTCATGTATTTTACATTGTGGCGTCTGTAATTTAAAGTGGATGCTTTGGCTTCATGTTTCCATGAACAGCAGTTCTCCACGTTTGATTTAGACTTCATTATTATAGCAGAAAATTAGCTAAAAATCAATATGAGTCTTGTTTTATCTGTATTTTTGATATTAGAATACACATTTGGTTCATTATTCATTTCCTTTACTGACTGACACAGAGATAAAAATGAATCATATTTTGATTCCCTCAGCAGCTGATGTCAGAATGAATAATGTGTAATAATGTGCTGCCAAATGATAAAACAAACACAAAGAATGAAGCCATGTGAGATTAAAGAGCTGTGTCTGGAATTTACAGTTTATGTTCTGTGCCATAAATGTGTTAATTACTGCACATAATTTGAGTGTTTTTATTCACTCCTACATTCAGAGGTGTGGGAGTATTCAAAAAGAAATTGTACCCATGCTGTGTTTGTGGGCGATGGAGAGCAGGAAAGACTGAGACGCTGTAGAGGCCTGTCTGTCTTCCACTAGAGGGAGGCATTTTAAAAGTCAACTGAGTTGCTCCTCATTAGGAGTCATTTATGGACCAGGTGCAGCTCATAAAAGTGCTTCAGCTCAAGCTATTAACTTCATTAGCTTTGCTGAAAACATTCCCCTGCATATCCGACAATGCAGCTTTTAAACACTCTGCCAGGTGTAACGTATTTATGCGGAGACTCGGTGCTGAACTAAATGCATGAAACAGCAGCAGCTTTAGTATCATTTAACCCAATTTGATCAGATTTTTACACAGAGTAATTGTCGTCATCAGATTCCCACTTGCGTTCGCTGCGAGGAAGTAAAGTGTACTGACATGTTTGGATGTGTCAGCTGCTGATGATGAATGCCTCGCGCCGCACATGAAGGTGACTGGCTCCAACACAGAGCAGTGAAACCCATGGGTGGGCACTGTAAATAGTGGAGTGAAATTACCATGAAGGCTGCTTTTGGCGGCTGCTCGTCTGCATTGTGTCCTGTCCCTGCGTAAGGAGAAGAGTTTTATAGGAGCTCATTTGTTCGGGACCCTTGGCCCTCCAGGGTCTGTCATTCCTCAGACAAGCCAGGCATTTCACAGCTTGGCTGGAAGGGGAGGGACACCCACAACCATCTTCCATAACTAACAGCGTCAGACACACCCAGGAGCCTTACTCATACTACATGCAGTGTATCTTCAACCCTGTCTACAACCTCTCCAGTGAATATGCTCATATGCCACTATTTTGTATTAGGACAACATGTTTAAGCAATTCTGCCTGGATTATATTTATCTAAAAAAAATGTATCTGTAACAATATTAATATGAAATATTTCTGCAAAATGTTTCTTTTCAAGATATTCTATCGATCTTCACTTTTTAAAAAAGTCAAGCTTGAACAAATTTAAACTAACACTAACACCCATATAATGTCTTAAAACATGTGTTCCCTTGGAAGTTGGGTTAAATTATAAGTATCTTAATACTCATCCTTACTTACACTAGGCAGGACATGAATCCAGTTTTGAAAGTAAACACATAAAGGTCCCTCATTTCTCTGAGTGTTTACCTGAAATCTGATCAGAAAACAGTCAGCCAATCAAAAGAGAGGCTCTGAGCCTACTGTAAAACTACACTGAGATGGTTTTGGGTACTAAAAACCACAAATATATCTTCTCACGAATATCAAAATAAAACACCAAGAAAGGTGTAAAATTCGGGACCTTTAAGGGAAAATTATACCAGGGTACCGTGAGAGGTCATGGGAAATACAATGAATTTCATCAGCTTCTTCTGTCAACGACAGGTCCATGAACTACCTCAAAATTTAGGACCACAAGGACTGTACCAACTTACAGATGTTGCGTGGAGCACATCTGCATATCCAGAAAACCAGTGTGGTATGTACAGAGCTGCATGCACATCCAGTGTTCATGCTGCCGTCCAACCTCCATGTTCAAGGCTCTACCTGTCACCTGCTCTCCACACTTATCCCTGCTGCTCAATATGGACATCACACTTCTTCTTCCTGCACTGGCCCTGAATGCTGCCACTGAACATAATGTGTATTGCTAATGCAGACTAGTTTAATGAATGTTTTTTGTATGAGAGAGGCTTGCTGTTTGTGTAAGTACGGATCGACCCTGTCTCCAAATAATTATGTTCATATTCAACTAATTTGCAAACTTAAAGGACTCGCTTAATGTCAGTTAAATTGTTGAACGAAAGACCTTGGCAACCAAAGTAAGGAAAAGAACTAAAGGTACCTCTGACTCTGTCTTAACTGCAAGCTAAGTTTAAAAATGAACACATCCCAAGAAGAGTGGGAGAACTCAACGGACACCCTTAACAATGAGGAACTGATTCTACATCACAGATTTGTCTGAACGTCTAGAGTTACGTCTACTTTCCGCAGCTCAATGATTGCTTAGATGTTCCAAATTCCTTAACTTTTTTCCTTAATTAAGGAAACCTTTTAGGAGATTCTGTGCGACACCTTTAAGTAACTCCTTCAGTTAAGGAGAAAATAAACCTTAAGTGTCATACTTAAGTAGAAAAATTGAGATGTTTTTTCCAACTGGCCCCTTGGTGTTTCGGTCCTGTAGCTTTGTCTGCTTAACCATCCACCTTGACCTACTCTGCTTCCAGACCTCTGAACCACTGCCAACATCTCTGATTCATTCAGTTGGTAGGTAGTGGGTCCGGTTGTGCTCATTGACAGCTGGAGAAACAACTGACCAATCAGAGCTTTGTAGGTAAGACTGGGGATGTGTACCATGTAATTTCAGTGTTCAATTCCAGCCGGGGATGAGGGTGTAGCCCGTTACTCAGCCACATCCATGAAAAGTAACCACAAAAAAAAAAAAAAAAATGGCCTCAAGTGTGAATAAGACTATTAGTGAGAAGTGACATAGATTTGCATTTCAGTTTGATTACCAGCGCTGCCCTGATTGTGTTCTCAACAAGATCATCGGACGTTTCCATTGATCGTATCTGCAGGCACAAGATGAGAGAGGACTTTTTATTGTTCTTTTCCTAATCTTAACCTGGTGTTTCAGGAGCCTGAACTCGTTAGACACAGGACGGAGACCAGTGATGTGGTTCGTGCGCCGGGCCGTCCACTAGAACCTTCTCCCTGCAACTTCAGTATAAAGATGTCATGCTCCAAGCAGCAGTTAGTTTCCATCATAATATATCTGTATAGTATTTTTATGTGTGTGTCTCTGTTCTACTGAACTTTCCTGATTCGATCCGCTTGTGTCTCCAGCTGAAGGCGTTACCTCTGCGCGTCTGTTCGCTGTGTTTCATTAGCTGTCATCCTCATACCTAAGATCTGCCCTGCGTCTTATTGTTCAGCTGGTTAACTGTACCGCGGCTTAATTAGGCACAACTTCAAAGTCACGCTGCACACGGGCGCCGAGGTGAGCCAGATATTTATATCGTGCAACGCCACCCAAAGTCCTGAAAAATTAATGGTTAGAGGGAATCAGACTCGAGGCTGGCAAAGACAATTATGAATCAATTGGGTACCACCGGGTGGACATTTTGAGGCCACGTTTTCTTTACTCCGTTTCTTCTCACCATGTTGAGGCGTTGTGCTGTTGTAGGAGATAGTGTTATATCCTCCTGAGCATTTTCAGCAATAAAGACCACAGCTTGCTTTCATCCTGGATTCTACAGGTAGAACGTGGCCTGTAGGCTACGACTCTGCTTGTCCTCTCAGCACTGTACATGCAATTACACACACTTACACATGAATAAGCTTGCGGATCCATTAAATGCTGTGAGTATGAACCTCTTTATCTACAGTCTATGGTATGAACTTGACCTGACAATCTAAACTGTGAACCTTAGAGTTTCAAATCATCAACAGCAACTGAAACAGCCTTACTGATGGAAGAATTGAGGGGATTGTGTCCGACAATTTGTGACCTTTTTTCCCGCCTCTGACTCCGGCTATTCAGCACAGGTGGAAACACTTTTGACTTCTGATGTGCTCAGATGTCACATACACAAACTAATTCGTTTATAGAGGACTGAGGCCTTTAGTGCTTCTGTTGTCTGGTAGGGCAGAATATAGGATCATTTTATAGACATGAGAAATGTAAAGACTGGTGCACACAGACTGAGCTGTAATAATTCTACAATCACATAGAGAACTACCGAACTTACTACTGCCTATGTGTGTCTACTGTATTTCTCACCAGAATGATGTACCTACACTCCAATCTTTTTTTTGTTGTTGTTGCTAAAAACACTTCCTGAATTTAAAAATATAGATACTTTGAAGTTTAAAGTTGCTGTTATGGACGGCCAGTCCTCCCTTTTGTTGTCTGTCATATTGACCTTTGACTTGATCATTGGCAGTGACTATTTTTCATTTTGTATGAACAGGAATCGATAAGGCAGATTCTGACAGATCAAACTTTAGTTGTGTGCCGATAAAGCTAAACACACTGGAGGACAATCACCCAAAAACACTCACAAATGCTGCATTTTAGTAAGTCTTACTTTTGGAACCAAGCATCAACCTCCTTGGCTGAAAAATGAAGCCGACACTGAAGAACAAAAAACTGCAGTTCCTCTAATGACCACTAGAGTCTGGCTCCCACAGTGAACTTTACAGCAGAAATAAACATGTTTACAGCCTGGTACAAAAGTATAGCTACCTTCAAGACAACTGTATGTCATCTAAAATTTATTAATACTTAAAAGTTATGCATAATTGAGGGTGTGGCCTCTTTGAGTGACAGGTGGGTGCTAACTGTCTGCTGGACGTCACCTCAATTTGAGTCACTGAATGTGACCTCTTGGCTTTGTTTGTGTTGTTGGCGCCTTTTGGATTATTTTTCATGCAAATATT